AGTGTGACATTTAAGGCAGTGTTTTCAGTCTGCTCCTGATTTGTTTACATTTTTTTAAAGCATATCTTGGGGGACCCTCTTATGAATCTAGAAATAGTCTGACGATGCCTAATAAAAAGAACAAAAATCCAGATTCCCTGTTCAGAGTTGCTGGAAATCCAGCTGCATCTACTCTGAAATGGAAACTTCGTACAGTAATCTGGTAAGAGAATGCAGCTTTTTGCTCATTTTTAGATCTTTGGATGCAATCCGAGTCCATCTGTGTCTCAGGAATATTGGCGCAGGTCCAAGTTGGTCAGAATAAAGGAAACAAACCCCAAGTCCTACTAGCAGAATGCTTTGAGTCTCAGACAAGATATTTTTTTTTCTTTTTAGTTCAAATCATTTTGTCTGGCTGGAGTTTCTCCCAGTCAAGATAGTGAACGTCTGGCCAGGAATCATCTAAACCTCATTAGAAGGAATGGCAATAGTATTTCAGCATTTCATTTCTCTCTGTGAACTCTGTGGGCTCCCTAGTGAACTCAGATTATTTTTTCACTATGGTCTTTATGTTGCAAATGCAACCAACAGGCAGCTTGGGTCATTTTAAACAATTATGTTTTTGGCACTTGATTAAGGCATAAAAATCCAACTCTTCCTCCCCCTTTTCCCCTCCTTTTGCAAGATAAACCTTTGATTTTTTTTTATCACAGAAATAATATTTGAAACATTATAGGAGACCATTTCTTAAGGAGGGGGACGGGGAAAGACCAGTTAAGATGCAGTGAATATGAAAACTGTCAAAAGATGAGCAGTAATCAAGAAAGGCAATTCTACCTTCTTTCATGTAAAACGAGGCTATTTTTCCTTTTCTTGGAAAATAAATTCATTCCATCTTAATTTACAAAATAACTTTCCAAAATACAGAGACCTCCCAACTTACTGTCTTTTAATGATCATCCACTTTAGGACACAACAATTCTCCAGAATTCTGGAAAATATACAGTACTTACATCCTTCTACTTTTGCCATTTCTAATTAAATAGCATTTAATTCATAGGTTTTGCTTTTAAAATTAACCGGCAAACTTTATTCAAGAAAGCCTGATCTACAGAGAATGTAGATACTAGCCTTCTTCACCATTTAGATGAACAGGACTATAACTGCAGATCTCCAGAATGGTATGTTTTTGACCTCTGCAACTTTAAAATATGTGAATTTCAGCTCCCAGAATCCCAGCACATGCTGGCTGGGGAATTGTGGAAGGTGAAGTCTACATATCTTAAAGCTGCCAAGGTTGAAAAACACTGCTCTAGAATCACAAACAGGCCCTTCTCTGTACAGATAGTCTTTGACTTACAACAGTTCGTTTAGTGACTGTTCAAAATTACAATAGCACTGAAAAAAAGTCACTTATGAGAGTTTTTCACACTTACGACCATTGCAGCATCCTCATGGTCACATGATCAAAATTCAGGTGCTTCGGCACCTAGTTCATATTTATGACGATTGCCTTTTGCGACCTTCCGATGAGCAAAGTCAATGGGGAGGCTGGATTCATTGAGCAGCCATCTTACTAACTTTAAAAATGCAGTGATTCACGTCACAAGTGTGGCAAGAAAGGTCGTAAAATGGGGGCAAAACCCATTTCACAAATGTTTCACTTAGAGACCACAATTTTGGGCTCAGCTGTGGTCGTAAGTCGAGGACTACCTGCACTTTGATTCTTTTGTTCAGAATCTCAGGGGACAAAGCAACTGTTCTGCCACTACGGGACAATTGTTCCCTGTGTAATACAATTAGATATTCAAAGCCCACTTCCTTACTTGCCAAATTCCTACAAAGGACTAAAATGCTGTTCCTGCAGATACTGAGATATTGCTATCCTACACATGCTGCACAAGCAACAGAAACAAACAAAAAGACTGCACTATTCCCAAATTCAAAAGGGTCTGATGGGCTCCTTGGATTTCTAAGGGTTATGGTGAGAAATAAAGGAAGTTTATTTCAGTGAAGGCGTGTTCTAACTGCTCTGCATCTGCTGTACCAATATTCCTTCCAACATTATCAAAAGGTTGTTCCTCCCATCGCTCTCATTTTCTTTCACCATCCCCTCAAAAAGCAGCATGAAACTGAGCCACCATTATCTTCAGAGAAACGAGAAAAGGAAGGTGAGGTGACATGTGAATTCCCATCAGGACTAAATGTCTATGGAGATTCTCAATCATCCAGGTCATGATGATTTCGGACAACCGCACCAATATGTTAGAACTGAAGAAGCTTCTTGGATAAGGAGTGAAATTGTTTCAAAAGAAAAAAAAAAACAAGTGAGGAAAAAGCATCTTTCTGTCCCATCAGGTCTGTTCTGGGCAGTGATGTTTAAAAGAGTTAACTTTATGGCTGCAACCATGTAATTAAACATGTGAGATCCAAAGATGCTTTTCTCAAGAGGCAACTGGACTTTCTTGTTTTTCTTTGAAGACATTTCGCTTTTCATCCAAGAAGCTTCTTCAGCTCTGTGTGAGATTTCAGACACCAGCCATATTAGGCTGCCAGCTCAGTTTTTTTTTTAAAAATTATTATTTTTCCACTCCCCATGGACATCTCTGCTTCTTGCCATTACATAGTGTTGGGGTTTGAACCACCTGTAACCATGAAAACGTGAAGTTAAGCTGTGAAAAAAGTCCATGTTAGGAATCATTAGGAAAAGATTGAAAATAAAACTGCCATCACTGGAATGCCCCTATCCAAGTCCATGGTAGGCTGGCACCTGGCATCTAGGGGGTGTCATTTGAAAAAGAATAGAATTGGGAAAAGTACAGATGAACCGAAATGATTGAGAGGTTTGAATACTTTTCCTACAAGAAAAGGGGATAGAAATCAAGTCGCCATATTTTAATTAAAAAAAAAAGAGGCTGAGAAGGAATATAACTGAATTGCATAATGCAATGCATACCATGAGAAACTGGACAAGGGGAAATAGTTTTTCACTTCTCAAAACTGTAGCACAGACATCTTTCTGGGAAACGAATCTTGGATGAATAAGGGCCTTCATCTGATCCAGCAGTGTTGTTCTTATATTCTTACAGAAGAGCCTGCTCAGAACTGGGGTGCCAAAGCGATAAGGCTAGATTTGCTATTATCTCACAGTGAAAGAATAAATGACCAAGCAAATGACTCAGTTCCTGCATTTGGGGTGCATATTATAAATATGTAGATTTTGCTTTTAAAATTAACCTGCAAACTTTGTTCAAGAAAGCCTAATCTACAAATAATGTATAAATCTTGAGTCACACAAAGTCCCTGGGAAAAGTGATCCAGTAATCCACTAATCATCACCTTTCATAACTTTCCACCTTTGGCTTGGAGTTGCAATCCTAACCAGAGGTGGTATTCAGCAGGTTCTGACCAGTTCTGGAGAGCCGGTAGCAGAAATTTTGAGTAGTTCGGAGAACTGGCAAATCCCACCTCTGACTTTGACAGTATCCTTCCCCTGCCACGCCCACCAAGCCACGCCTACAGAACCGGTAGTAAAAAAAAATTGAATCATACCACTGATCCTAACATATATGCAATTGTGAAAGTCTGATTAAAGTAAATTCCCCTTGTGGGCAGAGGTACCCTGGGGCTGTGAGAGAACGACGACCAAAACCATAGGTGAGATTTGGTGGTTCCTGCAAGACCAGACTTTTGTCTATAGAAAAACTGATGTGGTCTCTCCCAGCCACTTTTTAACTGATCTCTTATGTGTTAGCTGCTCCACAACACACTAATCTGGGGTTAATTTTGTCCAGGTATCAAGTATCAGACCATTGCTTCAGCCACCTGTGATTTCAGAGTGGGCAATTCTGCAAGTTGAAGTCCACGCATTTTAAAAGTTGCCACCCATTTTAAAAGTTTAAAGAGGCTGAGAAACACGAAGTTGTTTGGACCTCGGGTTCCATTTGACAAATGAGGGCCTGAGAGTTGAAATCAGCGGTTTCCTGTCAGAGTTTCATTTTAAAAAGGAGAATTTCCTTTGACACTTTGGGCTGCGCTTTGAAATCAGGTTTCTTTTGCTTCTTGTGAGAAGTCCCATTTTCCCTCCTTCACTCATCTGCTGTAGCAGCACAAAAGGAGAGCCTGGGCAGAAGGTCGGGCAAGAAGCAAATGAGCCAACCACCAAGACAACCAAGCAGGACTCTTTTCTTGTAAAAGGCAGGAAAGGGGCAAGCGACAGCCCGCGTCTACCTTTCCTAGCCATAGCTCACTGGGACTGTTGTTACCAATGGAAATCACGGCTTGTAAGGCTGCAACAGTGTGAGACTCTCAAGTGGAAGAAGTCATTTCAGTCAGCGGTGTCCAACTTTGGCAACTTTAAGCCTGGAGGACATCAATTCCCAGAATTCCCCACCCAGCCTGGAGGACTTCAACTCCCAGAAGTCCCCAGCCAGCCTGGAG